AGAAAGTCAGATCAAACTTTTCTGTCCTGATGGCCGGTCACACTGAGCCTAGTTATGCTGGAGACTACTTCCTGTTAAAAGGGAGTTTTTCCTCTCTACTGTCGCTACAAGCATGCTTAGTGTGAGGGATTGCTGAAGAGTCAATGAGTCGATGCAATCAACTGGTTTTCCTTACATGGAAAACTTTAAATCAATCTGACTGGATGATCTGGTTGAACTGGAAAGTGCCTTGAGATGACATGTGTTGTGAATTGGCGCTTTAGAAATAAACTGAATTGAATTTTTTATATTCTGAACTATTATACATTTCTACTTAAGTTTATGCAAAATGGGGTTATTTACTTTTACTTCCTGAGTCACTAAAGGAAAAAGGATTTTTTTTTCATGAGGCGTTCAGGGCTAAATGAGGCTGAAGCCTCGAAAACTGCATCTTTATGAAGTGAATTTTATTCAATTATTCAAGTTTAGAAAATGTAAATTTAAAAATAGACGCAATCCAGAAATGAAACTTTGAAAAACTCCTTAATTAATAAAAGGTTTTAAAAGTGACTTTTAAAAGTAAATATTCTATTATTTTTATATTTTTTTTTTTTATTTGATATTTTTTTTCATATATTGTTTTTTTTATGTTTCTCTGTTGATTGAGTTAAATTTCATTTTCCAGATCGTTCTCTTCTCTTCTGGGGCCACTGAGCTGTAACTTTCTTCCAGTTGTCCTTATCTTTCTTCCTCATGGCCTACAGACTTTAATGACCGAGGAGGAATACAGACAGTAGATGGAGCAACAAACCAGAAAATAAAAGGATTCCTGTTCTCTCTAAGCAGCGTAGTAACTTAGAGGAAAGAATGAATCTATCCACAGAGGAAGGAGGCAAAGATGTCAGAGCTGCACGTCAGCAGGGAAACTCTCACTTTAAACACAATCAGTTTGATTGGAGCAGAGCTCTCCGGTCTGCTGATCAAATGGTTCTGGACGTCCCTAGGTCCCGGTATAATCATCAGGGCATCGTTCCTTTGTGGTTACCGCACCTCGGTCTGTGGGTTCTAACTGATTTGCACCTTTTCAAGTCCAGATGAAATAATCATTTTTTAAAACTGGCTTTTAATATTTAGGAAACATTGTTTTATGCTTCGGATTTTAGTTTTTTTGCCATGTTTTTATCCTTCTGTGAAGCACTTTAGCATTCCTGATGTTGTTGTAAAGTGCTATACAAATAAACTTTGATTTAATTATATATATATTTTTTATTTTGAGGGCAAAACTACTCATTCCATTGTTAGATTGTCCTATTTACCTGCTCAAATTCAATACATTTATGTTTTGCAGTGAACGGCCAGCCAGAGCATTTACCTGCGATTGGAGGACCTGCAACCATGGGAACGGACATCAGGCCGAGCAGAAAGCCGATGGCCTGAGAAACATCTTTGGCTCCGACCAACTCGAAGGCGATGGGGGCCATGATGCAGATGAAGCAGCCGTCAAACAGCCCCATCAGGAGGCACACGGCAATCAGCCCTCCAAAGATCTGGCACACGGGGATCATCATGGACATGACGCCGATGATGAGGAAAGAAATGACCTACAACAGAACAAGTTATTCAGGATCTTTTATATCAGTCATCATGTTTTTATTACCTTCAGTTATAATATTATTCTCATAAATGTATGAGCTATTCAGTGAAAACCCCTCTAAGCTGTAAGGACCGGTGTAATCAGCTCTAATGCAGCGTGATCATGTGATCAATCAGCAGCAAACATCTCCAGTGGTCAGACCTTCTCTCTGGAGTCACGCAGCTGTACGTACCTGCAGGTACACTTTCTTGGATCCCTTGACGAAGTCCGCCACGCTGCCGAAGATAAACCGCCCCAAGCAGGAAGTGATGCCGATGCACAAGAGCAGGATCTCTTTGTTTGTGTCCTCTCCAAAACGTTCCTGCACGTGATTCATCTGGAGGGGAGAAGTCCAAAAGGTCAAGCAAGCTCACTGCTGCTCAGGCTGTAGGGCTACGGTGAGAAAAACCTTAACGCTAACATTAAACAACACATAAATGGAAACAGTGCTTTTCTATTTGAGTACCGCTGAAGGAAACTAGCTTTGCAGTCGGTTTGGACACGCCTGCCGACAAGGGGGGGGACAAAGGGGTCAGCTGTCCCAGGCTGTGTCCCGGGCCCTAGGAAAGCTGTCAGCTGGCCTGGTTCATTCAGCAGGTGAAATGTTCCACTCAAATACCAGCACTGTGCCCTTTGGTCATCTATGAGATTATTTAATGTTTTGTTTTCTGATTCAATTACTTCACTTTATTTATCCAGTTAAATGTCAAAGAAACTAAAAATCTACAGAGAAATCGGTCCACTACCAGCTAGTCATAATAAACAGAGAATATTCAAAAGAAATAGCGAACAAGTCGAATGATCCCATTGCACAAAGTTATTTAAAGGCATTATAAAAGGTATAAACAATCAAAACCTGGAGATTTATTTAAAACAACTGATGAAAAGACCAGAGTGAAATGAATGAGTGATGCTGATGGATCTACAGGAGACCCCAACTGTTTGTAAAACAATATCCTGTGATCTCGTTATAGGAAATCAGTGGCAGTTTTAGACCAAATGTATCAGGGGGCCATGAGGGGGCCAGCATGTTTTCATGGCAGCACAGAAAAGCATGAGTTGTTTTTTTTTAGCATTCAAATATATTAAGAAAGCTGCATGAAGTGAATTTTCCATTCAATTTGGTTTAATTAAAATGCTATATACTATTAGGTCAAGATACATTCATAATTTAGGAACTGTACATATTTTTGACTTAATTTTCTATAACATTTTAATTAGAACTCAAGAAAAAAATGATAAATTAAGCTACAAAAATTAGAGCATTTTATATTTGTTTTGGAAAAACATTTAACAGATGAAATCCATCCCAACTCAATACCACTAAAGCTATCACCTTATTATTTTTAAATAATTAATGAAACAGATTTTTTTGAAGAAAAAAATGAAATAGATCCAAAGGACCTATCAGTAACCATGTCTGTTCCAGTGCATATCATCATTAGAACTTCTTTAAGTTTTATGTCTTTAGTACAGGGGCCATAACATGATCTAGAGGGCCACTGGCCCCCGTTGGCCCCTGGCTAGAACCACCCATGTCTGAACTACAAGCATTGAATGACACATTCTGCTTCCAAGACAAAATTTGGAAAATCCTGCTTCTAAAATCTCTGATATAAGTTAGCTGATAGAAATGCTCTGCTTCTGTTTAAAGGTTTAGTCACTAGTTGGCTAATAATAAACGGTTCAGTTGTTCTCTTAGTTATTATTGTTGACCTTTGTTCTCTGTTTGAGAAATATTACTCCATCAAGCCTTTTCCAACATTCAACGCTAAGAAATAATTGATAAAGGTATGTATGATTTATGCTGATATTGTATCACAGGCATCCCCAAAGTCGGTCGTGGAGGGCCGCTGTCCTGCGGGTTTTAGAGGTTTCCCTGCTTCAACACCGCTGATTTTAATTGATAGCTGATTAACAAGCTTTTGCTCAAATGCAATCATCAGAATCAGCTGCGCTAAAGCAGGGAAACCTCTAAAACCTGCAGGACAGCGGCCTTTCAGGTCCGACTTTGGGGATGCCTGTATCGAGTCAGTACCGCTATCGGTTAAAATGCAAAGCTCCAATATTGGCATCATATCATAGATTATAAATCATTATATCAGGGTAACCCCAATTGTTGGGGCATAAGTCAAACAAGTGACAAAAAACGACTCATATAATTTGAAATGGCACAAAAAATCAAAGAAAAGCAAACTAATCAGAGAAAGCAAAACCATACCCACAGTAAAACATGGAGGTGGAAGCATCATGCCCTCGGTTTACCTTTCCTTTGGCTGAACTGTGGTTTTAAAATATCAGTGAATTTAGAAATAGTTCTAAATTCCACAAAACCTGCTGAACCTGAAGATGAGGATCGGTTCTGATTATAAATTCTTATAAGTGAAATCAGGGGATAAGAAGATCTTAAGGAAGGCCCTGCGGTCGGTGGATTTCAAACAGCATTTCAAACTTCTGGGATCCACTGCAGACTATTGAACCATCCAAAAGCTGAACGTCTGCTTTAAAAGTTTGATAAAAGACAAAACATAAATACATTTGATGGAAAAAATAGATATGCCTTCATGTGCTCCTACTGGTTCAATCATGGCTCTCAGAAAATCACGAAAGAATGAACACCAGCAAATGTACTGCCGTCATGTCGGGATGTGGGGGGTTGGGGATGGTTGGTGTGGTGCCAGCTATTAGTACCTCCAGGCATGCTACACTACTCCAGCTCAAAGGATCTATCTGTCTGTAGCCTCTGCTCACCCTCAGCACCCGCAGCCCTCTGCAGATCTCCCACCCATCTGCATTACCCTCTGGGTGACTTATTGTCTCCATCCATTCATAACAACAACATGCTCTGTATTCAGGGCTTTCCTGCTCTGAGAGATCTAAACTCCAACGTCCAACGCTGCAGGCCTAACTGGATGTTAGGTGTGTGAGAGAACATGTATGCATGGTTTCTATGCATCAGGCGAGTAACTCATGATACATAAACCAATCTGAGAGTTAAGCCCAGAGGGAAGAATCAAACAAAGAAAGCAGATGAGTCTAACACTTCATCTATATAGTTTCTTTGGTTTCAGGCTTTGATGTCTTATTCTGCAACGTCTCTATATGTTTGAACAGTCTCTAGGTCTGTGTAATCAAGTGATCATGTTATCCCGGACGAGCCCCCAATTCAAGGGAGAGACATTAGCTTAAAAAGAAAAAAAAAAGGTATTCAGCAACAGCCTTCTCTTGTACACCACATGGGAAGGTCTATGGAGATGTGTTTATGATTAAGGACGGCTGTTAATAAAAGCACCCTCTTGTCTCGCACACAATAGTAGACTGTTGAATATTTTTTTCTTTTTGAGCTAATGTCTCTCCCACATTAGGCAAAGCAATTAAAGGACTACCACTGTTATGTACTATGTTTTCCATCCTGTAGACTTGAAAACTGGGCCCAGAGCTTATTTGTTTAGATGTATTTCACTCCGATAAAGCAACTTATTTCAACACACAAAGTTCTCCTGAATCAGTGATTGCATGTTTTTTGGTGTGTTTAGTCGGTCTTCTAAAACCCCCAGTTGGCCTCATATAAAGCCAGGCATACAAATTTACCATTTTTTTCAATCGTTACAGCTACAGCTCACACTGTATGACAAAACTGCAGTTCACAGCTCACGATGTTTGTTCTCACACTGTGCAGCCCGACGGTCTGATGCAATCTACCTGCTCACACTGTACGTCTAAAAACCACGTGGGACTCAGCTCCGCAGTGAGATGGCGCTACTCGGACTCGTCTATCTGGAAGCCAAACGAGTAGAAGAGGAATATGAAGCTCACTATAGTGAAACATGCTGCCTTGGCAAAAGAAAAGGCATCGACGTATTTGGACAAAGACATGGCTGAGAAAACGTGGCTACTACGGTCTGTCAATTTTACAGAAAGAACTGCATTTCACTCGCATCCTGCCATGCTTCTGTGTTTTCATCTAAGAGGAAGAAGAAGAATCCCTGTTTGTGCATTGAGCGATTTGCCCACTACCACCTTATTGCGGCCTACTGAATTACAAACATGTTTGATTTTCTAGCGACCTTACGATTCCTGATCAGGTGGTCGTGAGAGGCTGATCGCCCCTCGTTACCCCCTGTTCTCTACACGACGCACCATCAGGCTGAAAGTCGGTCCGATCGAAAAATTCTTGCACTACTGAAAAGTCGCCTCAAAAAGGGCAAAAAATCATAGCTTAAAAAGAAAAGGCAACGGCGCATTTAATTTAAAGCGTAGTTCATTTAAAGTTTCTCAATGTTGACACATAAAGAAAATACTAGTTTTTTTGTAGCAGTGAAACGTGATATTGCTACAATCAATCTCCCAAGCTGGCCAGAACACACTTCAAAAGAGTGTTAGCTGTGCATGCAGCCTTCAGCAGTAGTACTGAAGCTGCGACCTGCTTTACTAATTAAAGGGGAACGCCGGGTTTTTACATTCGGCCTTTGATTTTACGTTATTACATCATCTTCTACTCACCCATATGAGTTGTGTGTCATTTGGAGCCAATCTGAAGATATTCCGTTAGGTTATATCCAGGTAACGTCTTCCTATGGGCAACGACTTGAAGGCACAAACTAAACTGTTCATAATTTATTCTTTATGGTACGCCAGCATTCATAACATGTAGGCCAATCACTGTCCCCCAGACATCCATGGTTATATTTTTAATATTTATATTTGTTACAAACAAAGTGACGGCCTAATTTAAAAAAATAAAACTGCGTTCCCCTTTAACTCCACACTTTTAGGTCACATTTATAAAGAAAACAACATGGATCCATTTTCTTCAACTTAGTTTTTTGTGTAGTTGGTTGTGTTTTGAAAAAATGTGAACAGTTTAAGGGGTATAAATACTTTATAAAGCGCCTCTTTACATAGAGGAATTAAAGAGTACACTTCCTGAAGAGAACTGATGCTTATCAGGCTTGTTTTCAAAGACTCTGGTACATTGCTGCAGGTTGTTTGCTGCCGGTGGTGTGCGTGTCTTTTATAGTGTTTTCATGAACAGTCCCTCACATGAGGCAACTCTTGATCTGAAAGCAGGTCTTGTGGGCTAAAACATCACAATCCTGCTACACAAGAAAAAAAAAAAGTTTTTTTTATAGATTTACACAAATACTTTGAAAACACTCACAGACTTATTATGTTTCTAGTTGGTTTAAGTTTCAGAATGACAAAAACAAAAACAAACAGCAAGAGCTGAAAAGTAAAGAGAAGAAATGTAAAGTAAACTATGTGAGGTGTTATGTAACAGACCACCCATCTTAGGAGGGAGAAACTGTTTGCATGACGGTTAGAAGGTTTAGTCGTATGGAAAAGAAATGAG